CTTTTGACTGATTTTTGATATCAACTAGCGATAAATGAATGTGAACAATTCGTTGTAATTGGATGAGACGATATGTATACCAAACACACCATAAAAACATGAACAACATGAAAAAAACCATTATCCCTGGCCAATATTCAATCTAAACAAAAAATGGCATACTCAAACAAACTGATTGTATGCCTTTTCGTCTGTGTTTTACTTGAAGAATCCTGTCATTTAGATTCGTGAAACCATACTGAAGTTCTTCGATGTTCTCACCATATGCTTTTAACTAAAATAAAAACGAATAATCAACATGCGACTACTTTCACTTAACATCAACATCATACTCTATCATTAGCCATCTTTGATGCAACCGATAGTAAATCAATAACAAGTTGTGTTTCATCCAACTTTTTTCTGTAAATGATAAACAATAATCACATGAAATGAAAACATCAGAAATTATCGAACTACTTACAAATAATGTTGACTAAGCTCTTCTAAATATCTATTACTCAATGATAAATTAAGATTGAGCTTTTCAATTATTTTAAATAGTTCTGGTAATGTTTTTATATTCATTAACATTGCTTTTAACCATGGGTTTGCTGTTGTGAGTTGAGGTGCTGACTCACGGTTACCGATAGAATTTAATGATGTATTTGTGATTGACGGTTCTGCATCATTGAATGTAGTCGTCGATATCGCGGCAATTGTTACATTGAATGTTTCTGTAGTATCATTGGAAATATTTGATTTCAATGTTTTGTGTGTGGTACTCGTATCTATTTTTAAATGAAGAGAAAGGTTGACCGCTGATTTCGAAAGTAAAAGCGTTAACGGTGCTTTTGATAATGCAACGGTAGTACGGTGACGATGAACATTGATTAATGGAATATAGAACAAGAATGGTAAAAGAGAAGTTCCGTTTGATAGTTTCTGTGGATCACTTTCTAGAAGAAAAAGATGAATATGAACAAATATTTTCAAGCCATATAGTACAATATGAGCAATCAATTTATGACAATTTTGAAAAAAAATTTTTCTAAGTAGAGAACAAAAGTCGACTCATATCGCCTTTTTCACGTGTATATTACCTTGAGAATTGTTTTCCAATGTGAGGTTTTCGGTTGAGTTATCATTTGATATACTACTGGATGATAAGGCTATTACTGAATCGTTGGTTAAATCTGTTTTAATGTGATGTGTGACGTTTACTGTGGCTGCTGTTGTTTGAGATGAATTTGATGTATTTACTTTTTGATGAGCTGAATGTCGTGTTGTTAATAGATAATAATATCCACACTGGTCTGATAGAAGATTGGGTGTCGTTGAATTTGAATTTGTAAATTGAGTGTTATTTTCATAACACTGACAGTATCTATTTGGAATGGAACAAAATATAACTGGTTCTTTATAGTTACTAATTTCTCTACTGAATAGTAACGATATACACTGTTTTAAGAGAGATAGTAGTGAATATTTGGTAGTGCCATTTATTGTTATTGATGATGATGATGATACAGTATCGCAGGTGTTATCATTGACGTTTCTCAATGGATTTAACTCGGATGATAACAGTACTGCTGCCGTGGTACTTGTTAAGACTGGATTAAGTTGTGATGATTGTTGCGATGGTTGTCGTAAATTAAACACTTTTTTGGCTAAGTTAATAATAGCCGATCCAATAGCAGATGAAGATTGTTGCTCATCATTCGTATCGTCATCTAAATCTGTTAAATGTTTATCAATTTCCTCCGTTTTATCTGGATAACCATTATTTTTTTCCATCGTTATTAATTCATCCTCAACATTTGAACCTATAGTGAACACAAATAGATATTTGTTCTAATGAAACAACGATGGATCATTTTCATACCATGCACATGAACAATGCTCAATGGACAAAAATGCTCTCTGCCATGAAAATCGAGAAATTCAAATCGAACATATTTTAAATATGTGTCGAATTGAACCGTTTCAAAACCTTGGATTGTACGATTAAATGTGCAATTAAAAGTTCCAAGGTGATAACGATGCCAGTCTTTTGTTGGATACCTAAGAAGTATCAAGATAGTACACTATTACAAATAAGATTTTCTAAGGTGTCAACCATAAAATGGAGCTGGTTTTATTTTATTTTTGTTTATGCATCGTTTGATAGAGTTTGATGAGCTGATCACAAATATGCGGTTTTTAATTTTTTTTGGGCAATCTTTGAAGTGAGAAAAATTGAGAAACTCGCAGGGTCTAAAAGTTGAAAAAATTCAAATATTTTTCACTTTTGTTGCACAAACCTTTTCAAAGTGTTTTTCTGATTCGCTATCGAAAATTGAGTATGAGAGTGATGTTTGGTTGATTGTGAAGTTAAAGGTTTGTCCAGTACGACTGTGTCGAACGCCGCTACTAGGATATGCTGAGATGAATGACACCTGTTTCAGCAAAAAATATTCTTCGTCAAAAGTACACCTGTACTACCTTCAGTTCTTTTTTTCAAAAATTTTACCTGTGGGGTGTGTTTTGACGAAGAATATTTTTTGCTGAAATATATATCATTCGACTCAGCCTTTTATGCTGATTCCGAATATGATATTCATTTTCCTGTTTAATAAAATTATGATGGTAAAAATTACTAAATACGAGCGAATTTGTTTAGGATTTTGCCATTGAAATCGAGAAATTCCATTTTCTTAAGAATAAAATATAGTATAAAAAACTAAATAGGTACTGTTAAAGCTCGTGCTTCAGCGGTTTTAATGAGGTAAGACACTTGGCTTTATCTCTTCGTACAAAAAATTAGATAGGTTTGCAAAGTTGCATACTAGCATGTCCTAGCAGGGGCGTTCTGCACAGTCGTATTGGACAAACCTTTAACTTCAAAATCAACCATACACTACTCTCATACTCAGTTTTCGATAGCGAATCAGAAAAAACACTTTGAAAAGTTTTACGTAACAAAAATGAAAAATATTTGAATTCTTTCTGAAGTTTTCCAATTTTTAGATCCTGTGAGTTTCTCAATTTTTCTCACCTCAAAGATTGTCCAAAAAAAATTAAAAACCACATATCCGTGATCAGCTCATCAAACTCTATCAAACGATGGATAAATAAAGATAAAATAAAATCTGCTCCATTTTTGCATTGTTGACATCTTACAAAAACAAAATTTTCATCATCTGCAGAGTTCAAAAACTGTTTCGCTTCTTTACCTATCACTACCTGCTACACGAAATGTTTTTGGTACGCTTGAGAATAATTCAAAATTGGCTATTTCAATATTTAGAATACGAATTGATTCACATAATTCGACTACAAACCTGAAATAACGAAGAAGTAATTAAAAGGTTCAAAAAGTAACAGCTAATATGATGAGAAAGTGGCTACCTACCATATTTTAGCATTACAAGGATTCAACATATATTCGTCAGGCGAAGAATATAATATCGAGGAAGGATTTGATGATTCTGCATTGTTCGACAAAATTTTGGCTCCACATGATGCACTTGCAAAGTTTTTTCGTAATTTTAATTTTTTGATTGATTGTGATGACGTCAAGGCGGCTTGTAACGGTACTGGTGCATCAGACGA